TAAAAAAAAAAGAAAAAGAAAAAAAAAAGAAAAAGAAAAAAAAAGAAAAAGAAAAAAAAGAAAAGGATAAAAGAGAAAAAGAAAAAAGAAAAAAAGAAAAAAGAAAAAAAGAAAAAAAAAGGAAAAAAAAAACAAAAATTAAAATAAAGAAAAAAAAGAAGAAAAAGAAGAAAGAAAAGGAAAAAAAGAAAAAAGAAAAAGAAAAGAAAGAAGGAGAAGAAAAAGAAGAAAAAAAAAGAAGAAAAAAAAGAAGAAAAAAAAGAGGAAAAAAGAAAAAGAAGAAGAAGAAGAAGAAAGAAAACTCACGAGGAGCCCGCGATACAGCCTTCTCGAGCCCCACTCACATTACCTATCGGACGCCTGCTTGCCTCCCTTACCCCTCGCTGCTCCTTACTCACAGCCCGGATTTCCAGATTTAGACATAGTTAAGTCGTGCGCAGGCACCGGCTCGCTGGGTCCTCTCTGATCAGCGCGGAAAGTTTTTTTTGGGGGGGGGGAAAACTCCGAGAATGTTAACAGGGGAAAAAAAAAAAAAAAAAAACGAAAATAAAAAGAAGAAAAGAAAAACGCTATTGGTGTGTTTGATGTGATAGAGATAGGTATGGTAGGAGTCGTGCGTGCGTGAGTTTGGGAGCTTTGGGGATGTCTAATTTGGGGGAAAGAGGTGAGGTGAGGTGAGGTAGGGTATGGTATGGTATGGTACGGTATGGTATGGTCATGGTCATGGTATGGTAGCTTGTCTGTACTATACGTAGTATATGCAGATGACGGGCAGTTTCACGTGGCAGTGGAATAAGACTGTGAATGAAGCACGTCAGAGGTCTCAAGACAGAGAGAGGGGGAGCTAGGTACGTAAGTACGTAAGGTCAGGTGTGTGTGGTATGGATGAAAAGGAGCTTGATTGTGCTATATATACTGATAAAGGGCAGTTTCACGCGGGAATAGAATAAAACTGCGAATGGAGCACGTCAGACGTCGAGAGAGAGAGGAGGGGGGAGGAGCTAGGTAGGTAGGGTAGGTAGGGTAGGGTATGGTAGCTTGTTTGTACTATATATGTAAAGAAAGGGCAGTTTCATGCGGGAAAAGAATAGAATAGAAGACTAGAATACTAGAATAGCCTATGAATGCAGCATCGAGATCGAGAGAGAGAGAGAGAGAGAAAAATGGAAATAGAAATAGGAATAGGAATAGGAATAGACGCCCGTTCGGCCTTTTCTCGCTTGTTTCATGTTTGGCTTGGTCGAACCGCAACCAACCGAGCGTCTTTCTCTTTCTTTCTCTCTCTCTGGTTTTTTTTTTTTTTTTTTTTTTCCCCCCTCTCTCTTCTTCTCTCTTTCGGCGATCGATTGATCGGATTCGATCTGAGATGTACGGACGGTCGGAGTGAGACCGTTGCCAAGAAGCCGGATATCTTAAGGTGAGACGAGAGGGAGCCGCAAGTGTGCTCGGGCCGCCGTTTCCGCTCGCTTACTTGGTTTAGCCGGCTGTCAGGCTGTCAGGCTGTCAGTTCAGTCTGTCACTGTCAGTCTGTCCGTCGGCGGTCTCGGATTTGGGGGCCTTTGCTGTGTGATGGCCTCGGCCTTGTGAACCCTTGCTTTGCCTTGCGGATAGACGTTAGAAACATGGGGTCTACCGGCATGGGTACACCATTCAACCAGAACAACCACAAGAACCAGAACAACCACAAGTAAGTAAAGTAAAACAAGTCTTTACGTAAGTAAACAAATCGTCGCTTACCAATTCTACAGATCTATATCTATATATAAATATATGCATATATATACCTATATATATATATTTATCGAATCGAACAGTCACCTAATCTTTCTCTGCCTCCCCTCCCCTCCCCACTTCCCCCCCACCCCCCGTGACGATGACGAAAAGCAACGCACGTACCCACACCCGTTTCAGAAACCCCATCACTCAGAGTAGTCGGAAACCTAAATTTCCGTCTCGTCACGTCGCCATTCTCGAAGGATTCCCGAGGAACGTCTTCTCTTCTTACTACCCCCC